CGACCCCAAGAAGCGATGAATCTTTCGCACTTTCTTCCTTTCCATAATCAAGCAGATAGTTCGGCTCCGGGATATATTGTTAGCTGTTGTTTCGGCCGACAATGATAAACGACCGACGTCTATTTTTGCAGAATGCGTTTATGAAAGAGCGAAACATAGCGATAGAAACTAGCAGAAACGATTTTTCACAGCTACGTGCAAACGATAGAAATTATCTTGCCAGCACGATCTCGGAACTCGAGAAACAATCGGGCAAGAAGAAAGGCAACGTTGAATGTTAACTTCTCGATCTCGGTATGGTACAATGCTATAATCTACTGTTATTCGTTACGTCATCAGGACTTTGCCTTCAGCATTAATTCATACTATCCTACTATAATTGAGACCTCGGACACATTCGCGCACGTTTACGAGTATTGTAATCAAATTGTTACAGCAGAAACTTCTATCTCTTGGGAATAATGACCGTGCAAAATAAGAGATGTGAATATTCAAAAGATTCAATTAATACTTTCTGCACAACGATTTCGAAGATTATATGGCATTTAATATACAGGAATGATAAGAACTGATTCTAGATGCGCGTGTAAAATGGCAATGTAGGATAATCAAACACGTGATACACGGTATAATAATCGTCGACGCGTTAACGGCACGAAGGCGGCGTCGACGATCGTACGGAGGTTCTTCAAGGTAAAAGAAGCCTCGTTCGAGTACCGTAAGAGCGACCTTGCCTCGAAACGACCCGAGTGCACTACAATAAATGCCTCCGATTCTTTTGCACCTGGTAATTTACGAGAGTGAGAAGGTGAGAGAGAAATGGCCGGTATCGGGCACGAGGATACCATATTGAGCAAAATTCGGCCAAGGAACGATCCCACCAAAACCTGTCCTTCTGTTACACAGTATGTCATATCGCACGCAAATACGATCTTTGCATTCACTAAAAAGATAAATTGACCAATGAAAAATTTAGACGAAATAAATAAGCAGTAACACAAGTAAGATACAAAGAGCAGATGATTTAACAAGATTGATGACTTAACAACTAGATATTGCAGAGAAATTACCTCACCGGCGGTTCTTGAATCATCGAGAAACTCGGATCGTTTCGATGAATTCAGGAATCGACAAATGCCAATTAAAGAGTGTTACGCAACGTTGCGCATACGCGCGCGCGCAGTGAAAAAGTTAGGAGAAGAAATGCCACCAACGCGAGTGGAGATCCTGCGGGTCAGAATGGCGTTTCGCCTCGTCGGTTTCCCTCGAACGGACGCAATTTCGTAAGAAGGCCGCGTTACCATACCGTACGAGGTAGCCAGTAGCCGGAATATAAAATTACGAAGCGGGTAATCCGAGCCTGTACACGTAAGCCGAGCAGATAATTCGAGTTAAGTGGCTCTCGGATAAGTCTCGCTGAATTTTGTCTTCGTGGCTTCATCGTTGATCAGGGTAAACGAGAAAAAAAGAAAAACGAAAGAAAAATCTACGAGACGCTGTGTTCGTGTGCCCACGCAGCGTTGGCAGCCTCGATCTCTCTCTTCTCCTTCTCTTCCTAGCTTGTTGTCCAGACTCCTACAGAATGGTATATGTCGTAACCATGCTACATTGGCACCTGCGAGCCTGTCACCTCTCTTCTCTGCTCGGCTGTACCGGGCAATTGCTTTTCTGCAACCGTCCCTCGACAAAAATCCCACCGATTTCTCTAGCATCGTGCCGAGCGCTTCGACGAAAATGCGCTCCACGAAAAGCGCGCGCCAAGAATTTTCTTCGGCTTCCCGCCGCGTGCCTTTGGAATTTCCAACCACTGGTGCGAGCGAGAGAAATTGTCGCAGGTAAAGCCAGCGAGAACTATGGTAATCTCGAAAGAGCGAAGAGATTAAACACGCCCAAAGACGAATTTAATTTTCATAATGAAGTGAACACGCTTGTCAGTTTCGTTAATTAAACGAACGACTCGTTACGTAGCCTCAGCTCGCAGCCAAGTTCCAAGACGGCGGCCGTGGCGGTTGCAGCAACGCCGGTAGGGTCTCTTGCGATTTCGTAGAATCGCAACACGAGAAGAATGTAGTCTTGTCATCGACTTACTGATGAACGGTACTTTCGAGTAACTCCAGTTTCTTTTTTCCGCGCTTTTTCCCTGCCAGTGTTCACGCACGTGTCCATCCAATGAACGTTAATTATTCGGACAAACAGCGCGATGCCTTGCTTTTATTCTCAAGTCGTGTACAGAAAATGTGGATATCGCTAAACGATGGTTGTATTACAGTTGTCTACCATGTCGCGGCTTTCTTATGGCAGTGTTCCCACATGCAAAGTACATTAACTCTCTGAATGGGGGAGGGAGGGGGAACGTATGTACGTAGCGTGTGTCTTACTTTGCTGTCCAAAATGCCAGAGAGATACATAGTGACCGTTCCGTGCAGGGAACATAAATTTTAACCAATTTTTGTCCAATACCAGTTCTAAACAGTCGACCGATGTAATCGTAGAGATATTCACGGGAAGTACCTCGTAACGTATGCATTGCGCTCGAACGCGCCATTTATAAGCGTTCGCATCCGTTTAAGTGGCGAACGAGTGTGTTGTCTCGCGTGTGTGTAAGCGTCGCAATGCATTTCTCCTCGGTTCGAAGAATGTCGACCTTTTGCCGTCCTGATTTATTCGATTACGTGATTTCGTACAATGAGATTGGAACTGCTGTCTGGCCGAGACACCCGGTATATTTACATAGGGTTTTGTCACGATGCAGGGCACGATGCTGTTCGAAGCGCTGGACGAGCACCTGTACGACTACGGTAACCTGTCAAGCTGGAAGGGCAAGAAAGGGCCACCTAACAAAAGCTCTTACCGTCGGATTTTTCTTTACCTGTTCCCTCTTTCCTCCACGCCGGTTGGATCCCAGTTTCGGTACTCGACTACGTGCAATCGACGAAGCAACGTTGCTCTTCTATTCTCTCGAAAAAGATTCATCAACTCGAAGAGCAACTCAAGATTCGTTTCGATCCGATCGATGTGAAATTTTTACCTGCCGAAGAGTGGAAAGTTACGAAGTATCGAAGCGTGGGTATATCGGTACTCGTGTGAAATTATCATCGTTACACAGAGAAAGGGCATATCTCTCAGATACGAGTTATCGCGTTGTCACACTGCACGAGCAACGACTGAACTCTAGTTGAAATCTTCCTTCACCGGAAGTGGCTTCACGTCCCGGAGTGGCACAGTTTCATAGAGAAGCGTTCGATTGTTTGCAAAAATTGCATTGCGGTGACTTGCAGAACAGTTATTTATGCCCGCAACACCTAATATAGAGTCAGTTTTCATTGTAAATTGGAGAACATCTTAACTTAACTGTTAAAATCACAAAAAGGAAGATTGACTTATATAATGTCGAATATAAAAAGAAGACATAAAACCTCGTTAAAGATAAAACGATGAGATTTAATAATTCAATAAAGGAGTAAGAGATTGGACAGACGCAGAACACCGGAGATCTTTTTTAATTTGCAAGATAGGAGAAACGGCCGTCTACGTGGAAGTAGAAAATCAACTCGAAAAATCGAATGGAAGAAACAGCAGGTTAAAATAAGCCTGGCTCGTTCTCTGTCGCCTAACCGAAGGGACAAGAGAGACGGAAATGTAGTCTTTATAAGATGCTACCAAAAATACACTGACGGCTAATAGAAGGCGGGCTGGCGCGTACCAAGGGTTTATACGCTCGATGCTTGTTTGCGTTATCAAACAAGCAGCAAATGAATGAAAAAAGGAAATCGATATCGCTCCTAGGTACAAATTACTGTGTTATGTACACGATGCTGAGAAAATAAACCAATAGATACATGCTATTTTACCTATTAAAGAAAAGCACCAGAGCTATACAATATAGCTTGTTAATTTCATCGTTGAACAAATTTTTCTAGTCAAACTACCAATTTTATCCGTAGTTTTGTGATGACCGGATATAAGCTGTTACAAATAATTGAGTGTCGAACGAAGGTAGAAACTAGTCTCGTTAAATTTCACGGACAACTTGCACGGAAATTACACGATATCTTTTTGAAACAGCTGGAACCAGACCGCAACGTGCCTTGCGATATATATTCTCTCGTCTATTCGCCCATGCGTATATACGTGGGTCACGGTACGCTCAATTGATCGAAATTGGCTAATTCGTCGAAGCTAAAACTATCCTACTACCCAACCTGGCTAATTATCCGGTGTATTGACCTACAGTAGCTCTCATGTCGCATCATCGAAAGTAAGAAATTTCTATATAAAGATCCTGACGAATTAAGATGTAAATTGTAGACCGTGAAACGACGATTTAAAAGGTAAAAGGAAGAATAAACTAAATTGGTAAAAGTCAGTAATTCGTCAAGGAATAAAACACCGGCTAGATTATGCTTATCAATGACGAAGGTGACTGCATATGGTGTTGGTTTTACGTGCGCCGAGATTGTAAGAATCGGTTGCCGGTCTCACGTGTTTTCGTCTCTTTACCGAGCTGTGGGAGCTCTTTTAGCATATAAAGGGTCGCGTCCATACGTCCGTCGTGGCGAAACTAGTTCGGCCGTCCAGTTTTTCCACTCTCATGCACGCTTCAGTCGTGCTCTCTTCAGTAGTGGGAGACCACATCTCGAGCGGTCGCGTTCCTTACAACGACACGCTAATAATCCCGCAACTTGTTGCTATTCCGTCGCTTCAAGGTCCATCGATCGTCTCAACAACATGCTGCAGCCGATCTGGATCCGATATTTTAAAAAAAACGTACAAAATGATGTTTCGTTAAAAAAAAAAACCTTATAGCCTGTGGCTCTCAGATTCTGCGTACGACAATTTACAGAGTATCACGTGACACTTTCATCTATCACGTGTTATAAATTAATCACGAATAATCATTTGAATTTTCAATTTTTTTGCGCTTTTCGCACGTTTGGGAAATAATCTCCGAGATGTTCCTACGCGATATTAAAAGAGAACGATAAGTTTAGAAGACTCACCGAGATCTTCAACCAGTCGGAGCATGACACCGCCGATGTGCAGTTCACCTTTTACTCGTAAGCTTCTCTCCATTTGAAGATTGGTCACGTAAACACACAACACCCAGCTACCGTCCACCTCATGACCGTCGGAATACATGTTTCTCGATCTCGATCGATCGTATGTCAAAAAAAAAAAAAAAAAAAAATCAAATCAGAAATAAACACGGATATTTCAGTCCCGGACACTCGATTTCGAGAAGAAAATTTCGTTCTAAGGAGCGGAAATCATGATTTCGCGGCACTTGACATCGCCGCGAACACACCTCAGAAATAAGAAGCAAATTGTAATTGTGATCTATCGGTACTACAGTACCAGTAGATTTCACAACTTCTCGAGCAAACTCGATCCGACCAAGTGTGCGCACTTGCGATACACTGGTTGCCTTGATCGGACTCGCACAAATTCGTTCCAAATACTGTATAGAGGCGCTCCAATCGTCAAGCCCCACGGCCTCACGTCTCAGTTGGTTCCTCGACTGGTGTCGACCGTGCACTCTCGGCTCGGCTACACTCTCTTGCCGAGAATAGAACTATTTACAAGTAACGCGCGCTTGGAATGCGCGCGCAGATCTCTCCCCGTCGCGTCTCGCGCGTGCGGTAACCCGTCACACAACTTGGTTTCCTTTCCCTCCGTGTCTACCGACATCGTGGCCTTACTGTTTCGTCGTTTTTCCTTTCCTATTTCATTGCTTTTGAGTGCTCGTCGTCCTTCTCGATCCTCTCGTGGATGATGCTCCGCGCGCTGACTCTCTCTTCTTTCTTCACCAATCCGCTGCCTTCTTCCTTCACACTGCTACACCACATTCTGAAGTATGGACCTTCCTTATCCAGATTTTACATCTTTCAAATGCTGTATCCAGTCCTTTCTTTGAACAAGGTAATTCATTTGTTAATTATTTTTTATGATGCTTGAAATAAGTTGAGCATGTAATTCTTTATGATTTTTTTATATATATATATATATATATATATATATATATATATATATACTGCTACTCTGTAACAAATATGGAAAGACTTATAGAAAAAAATTTATAGAATATTTTAAAATATTTGAATACTTTAATCTCTTTTTCATCTTTAAACGAGTCTTATAACGTATATACAATATTGCGTTTTCAAATCTGTAAAGTCAATTTTGATTGGATATCGTTATATCGAGGTATAGATTACATCGAAGCATTTTATAGGTCCTTGTGTCACATGTTCCGAAATACCAACTTCCAAAAAATTCAATTACAGACGAGGTATTCATATACCTATGTCTGTGATACAACTATTTCTTACGTTCTTTATGATTTGTTGTGATAAACATAAACATACTCGTTTCAATTGTAATTATTAGCTACGAAAAGACCTTCGCTTTTCAAGTTCTCGAAACGAAATTTGTTAGGCTACGTATCTAATGATAGCAAATATTAATTAAAATTTCTGATGCTATATTATTTGCAAAAATATAACTCGATAATTCAACCAATTGCTGCTGATAGCGCTAGTAGGCAAGTGTACTGTAGAGTTCTTCTTTTACCTACACGTCTACTTTATCATGTTAAGTTCCTCATGAATTGAGATTGAAAGACGCAAAATATTTATATACATAAATTTCGTTTAAACGTTCGTAACGACATAAAGGATTTTATGAAATATCATTTGAACATATGAAAACGTAAGATTATCCACATTTTCTTCAATAAAAATAAGAAATATAATTTAAGGTTAGTTATGTTATATTAGTTGTATGTATTTTTCTTTTTTGTAAAGGTCAAATTTGAATAAAATTTGGTTGTAATTCTGATAGTATTTGCAATGATCATACATCTAAAAAAATTTATTTTGCCATTCCGCAAACTGAATAAATTTGGGAAGATACAAAAGCAATTTATTAGATGTAATTCTTCAGAATTTTCACCCAGAATTTTAGAACAATTAAAAAATAAAAGTTTATTGCGGATCAGAGGAAATGAAGCTTCAGTTTTCTTACAAGGATTGATTACAAATGATATGAAGCATTTCGAAGAAGGGGCAGCAAATATATATGCATTATTTTTAAATATTAAGGGTAGAGTAATGTATGATGTTATTATCTATAAAAGTCAAGAAAATAATGTATATTATGTTGAATGTGATTCACAAGCTGCAGAACCATTACAAAAACATTTAAAAATATATCGTGTTAGAAGAAAAATAGATATAGATCATTTAGGAGATAAAATAAATGTTTGGGCATACTTTGATCCTACTCAGTATATGAATAATAAGCATAATGATAATAATAAACAAAAACTTGAAGGTTTGATATTTCCATGTGGTACTCTTAATAATAAAGTAAGCAAAATAGTTAAGAATATTATGATATACGAAGATCCTAGACTTTCTGATTTGGGCATTAGAATTTTAGCAGCATCTACAATTGAGAGACAAGAGATAATAAAGCACTTGAATTCAGATGTAGTAGATTCTACTAATAACTTGAATTACAAAGCATTTCGGTATAAACTTGGTGTACCAGAAGGTATTGAAGATTTACCACCAGGAAAAGCTTTGCCACTAGAAGTAAATTGTGATTATTTGCACGGTGTTAGTTTTCATAAGGGTTGTTACATTGGTCAGGAACTTACAGCTCGTACTTACCATACTGGTGTTGTAAGAAAACGATTAATGCCTCTATTATTTAATGAAATTCCTAATAAATCTTTTTTATATGATGATAAAATTGTTAATGAATCTGGTAATGCAGTAGGTAAATTTAGGGGAATTGAAAGTCAATATGGATTGGGTTTAATGCGAATTATTGAATCTCTGAATGCTCAATCTCTTACTATATCAAATATTAGATTAAAAGTATTAAAGCCTATGTGGTGGCCTCAAGAATCGCAAAAAGTTTCAGTTAATAAAAAGAAATAAATGTTTTTAATTTATTACTCTTTAATGTTTGTATATATGTATATATATATAAAATTGTAATCTATAATTATAAAATAAATATGTTGCCAGAAAAAATTATAGATTATTTTCCATTGATGCTACTTTATAGGATGGAATCTATCGCTAGTACATCTATGGATAAAACTCTTATTATTGAGCACAGTCAAGGTTTAACATCGGCAGTTCAGGAAGTTGCAACTGGAGTATTTAAGTGCTCTTATTGTTCATTAGAAGAACGCTTTGATTTCAAGGGTATCAAAGCGCCATTCTCACGGCAATTAAGTTATACAGAAGAGTGTTATATCATGAAAGATCCTTTTAGTTTGCCAAATAAAGGAGAAGTTTTAGTATTAGGAGCTGATTGTAATTTTTGTAAGAAAACTGTATGTTTAGAATGCAGTATATATTTTGGGAAACGGCTTTGCTTAAAATGCGCATCAAATAATATGCAGAATTTGCCATCACAACTGCATTCGAAAATAAAGAATTTAATAAAGGAGAAAGATTCATAAAAAAAATACTTTATTGAATATTAAATGTTTGCTTCGACATTTAAAAAGGTACAATTAAAAAATTTTAATAACACTTAACTGCTTTGATTTTATATTTTTTCTTACTCCACAATTAAAATTCAATCATTTTGAACATGTTAGCAGCACTGTTTAATTTAATGGTTTCTTAGGTTTAGCCATAAGTTTTTCTGCCAGAAATTTCTTCTTTTTGTCCAATTTGTTTTTTCTTTTCTTTTGATTTCCATCAGCTTTTTGGCCTTGAAACTTATTTCCTTCTTGTGGATTAATTTCTCTTCTTTCAAGTTTTTGTTTCATTATTTCTTTTTTAGCATTTTCTTTACTATGGACCTGAAAAATATGTATACATATATATATATAAAACATTAAAGGTTAAACAACTGATTTATGATTCAATATTTTTTTAAGTTACATACTTCTACTGGCACTTCTGCATTCTTTGATTTTTTATGTAAAGAACTGCGATTATCTTCTGCAGAATGTGATCTCTTTCCATGTTTTCTTTCTTTGTTTTTATGTTGATCAATATATGGTTTTACTCTAACTTCTCTATTTAAAATTGTGGTGCCATTAAGTTCTAAAGCTAATGCAACAGCATCCTCGCTTTTAAAATTAACGTATCCAAATCCTTTGCCTACTCTACTGTCTTTGTCTTGAACTATTCTCACAGATTCTATTTCACCACATTGTTTAAAATGATTCCTAATTGTATTAATGTCAATATCTGAAAATTATAATGTATTATAGTATTAGATAATCTTATGCTTATTTTTATCCTGATATATTTTACTTACTAAAATGTAAGTTTCCTATGAATACAGCTTTTTTTGGATCATATTCATTATCTGATTTGTGACTTGCACGCACTTCTAAATAATTTCCTTCAAATATTTTTCCATTTAAAGATGAAGCTTTTTTAACAGACTCTTCAGATTCAAATTTAACAAATGCATAAATTGTTTTTAATTTAGAATGTAAATCATTTGTGATAGCTGCAGTTCGTTTCGATATATTTAAAGATTTTGGTATTTTACCCCTTAAGCGTATAGTATCAATTTTCCCAAACTTCTTAAATAACTTCTCTACCTTTTTTTTTGTAACATTCTTTGGGAGGTTATTAACAAAAATTGTTCGTTTATCTTTTTTTAAATCTTCTAAAGAATGTTCTACATCAGAGTTATTTATTGAATTATTTTTTTCAACTTTTTCTTCCTCTGATTCTTCATCTTCTTCATCACTTATATCGTCATCTTCATCATTATCAGTTGGCTCAACAAAATCATCATCATCATCATCATCATCAGCAATACTATTACCCAAAAGTACTTTTAGACCCAAAGATTCATTAGCCTCGTCCTCACTCTCTGATTCTTCATCTTCTTCTTCACTCTTTGATTCTTCATCCTCTTCTCCTTCTCCCAGCTCCTCATCCTCTTCATCATAACTACTATCTCCATAACTACTATCTTCATAACTATCATCATCACTATCATCATCACTATCTGTGTTATCTTTATCATCACTGTCATCAGTTGTAAAATCTTCTACATCATCAATGTAATCAGTGCTCTTATTTGATTTTACTCCATCAAACATTTTTAATCCTTTCTTTGTATTTTTTTTGTACTTGTCCTTTGTTTGTACTTTTTTGTCATCTTCATAATCTTCATCATCATCATCAGATTCATCAGCTAGACTGGTTCCAAGAATATTTGGCAAGGTTTCTTCTTCGCTTTCACTGTCATCAGATGATTGAGTCTCGTCACTATTTTCCGTTATGCTATTTTGTAATACAATTCCTTCATTAACGTCATCTAAATCAGATTCATTCTCTTCGGCTTCTATTGAATTCTTTTTCTTGAATTGTTTCTTTGTAGATTCTTCTTGCTTTTTAATATCCTTCTTTTTTAGTTTTGTGTCCATTTTCTGAGGTGTATTATTTTCCATGCTGTTATTATTTGGCATTTTCGATCTATTAATCAATGAAACTTTTCCAGTTGGTGTTTGTTTGAATTTTTGATTTTTCTTCTTTTGTATAAATCCATATTTCGGTGTGTTTAAAAAGTTTTTAGAAGTTAAATCTTTATTTTCCTTTAATAGTGGTTTAACCATTTTTATTAAGAGCTTTATGTAGTCGTTTAAAGTGAAAGCTATTCTGTTATAAATACAAAAAAATAATTAAAGTTTTATATATATATTATTCTTATTCTGTTTCAAATAATTTAAATTTCATAAAATCGCTAATTCCACGTGTAGTACATTATGCACTAGTTAAATCAAAGTTGATTTGATACAAAGTATTAAATCATCAGTTATTAAAATTGATATATTTGATAAGAAATGATATTAAACACTTACCACAAGTGCGTGCATACAAGATAAACCGTCAAAAAACAGTTCTTTAAATCTCAATATACCGACTCAGAGTGAAAACGTTTTAAGCGCTAACAGGAAGGACAGACTCAGCCATTAATGTTTTGTATCGTTTTTAAATGTCAACGTACTAACATAAAACAGAATTCTCTACGTCAGAACATTTCAAACAAAATTTCCCTATGAATCTAACAACTAATACTGCAGTTTTTAATTATATTTATAATTGTTATAAAATATAAATACACTAACTACAAAATAAATATATACATATGTTGTATTACTAAATGTGATTTATTGCAATGTTATGTGTAAATATTATACCAATCTGGAAGAAGAGGTTATGTTTTACAGTACTTTTATGATCTTGCAAGATTCTTAATTTATATAATTGTTCGTTACGCAAATTAATATATTGATTTTTGAGGAAGATTTAGGTAAATTTTCGTCGACATTATATCCTTCTATAATAATTTTTATAGAATTGGATTAATTAGTGAACTAAGTGCAAGGTGTCATGTGATTGCATTCCTCATGTTTCAGATTACATATACTTTATTTATGTATAATGGACGAAACAGAATTGTTTCATACTTTTCTTCAAATACATCAACCTCAATTAGAATCTTCTGGGGTACCAAGAATATTCTGGCAAACTTTATTTAAAAAACTTCAGTGTCAAACGTTTGATTCTGGTTTGATGTTTCAATTGATGAAAATTGATTATGACAATGATAAGAAAGATTTAAGAGATCCTGTTTGGAAGCTCTTTGTTTCATGTGAAAAAGGTATTTCTGCTGAGGACTCAAATAATATTTTTTTGATAGATCATGCATGGACATATGATGTCAACAATGCCAAGCAAAATTTATCAACTATACCAGATTTGTTAGATCGTATGTGTTCCTTAATGGGTTTTGGTACTGATGCAAATAAAGATGAAAAAATAGATTTTGTATTAAACGAACTGTGGAGATACAATCAATCTTTTTCTTTAAGTACTGGATCAATAGAAGATAAAATGCCAATTTGGTATATTATGGATGAAGTTGGATCAGCAATAAATCATAGTGATGAGCCCAACTTTAGAACAGTGCCATTTTTATATTTACCAGATGGTGTTACTTATACTCTTTTGTTTCCTATAGAAAATGTTGATTACGACAAAGAAGTCACGAGAGACTTTGTAGAAGGCCAAACAATTAACAAAAGAAATCGGAAAGCTTTATTGTTACCTTGGATAGAAACATCATTTATCAAAGAAGATTTTTTACAAGTAGAACCAGACGAACATTATTTTTTAGCAGGTCATATTCGTGAAAGTTTACCAGAAATAATAGACATTAAATGTCGAAAGCATAATGGTATGAAATTGAAAGTTTTTTCACAGTATGCATATGTAAATGAATATCTAGACGACCCTGGATTTGAAATTGTTACTAATGAACATCAGGCGGATATTTTGTGGTACACTTCACATTTTAAGGAATATAAGGAACTGAGCGTTCGATCGCCCCATGTTTTTGTGAATCAATTTCCATTTGAAAATGTTCTGACTATTAAAGATTTATTGTCGATTGTATGTAGACGAAAGGCGGGCGAAAAATACTTCGCTCCTGATACACTTGAAACTTATCCAACGTGGCTACCAACTACTTTCAATTTAAGTACAGAATTAGTGCAATTTGTTGCATACTTTGAACAAAGACAATCAATGGGTTTAGATAATCATTGGATTTGTAAACCTTGGAATCTTGCTAGAGGATTAGACACACACATTACAAAAAATTTGTTCTATATTTTACGATTGCCCAGCACAGGACCGAAGATTGCACAAAAATATATCACGAATCCAGTTTTATACAAAAGGCCGGAAATTGGAAAAGTTAAGTTCGATGTACGATATGTAGTAATGCTTAAGCATGTGAAACCTCTAAAAGTGTTTGCCTATAAAAACTTTTTCTTGAGATTTGCGAATAAGGAATTCGCTTTAAATAATTTCGACGTGTACGAACAACATTTTACGGTTATGAATTATTCAGAGGATACGCCACTTTGTCACGTAAAGTGTGCGAACTTTATTTTAGACTGGGAGAAGCAATACCCCGACTTTTCATGGAAAGAATATGTCGAGCCAAAAATCTTTCACATATTCAAGGAGGTTTTCGAGGCTGCAATCCAGGAAAAACCACCGAAAGGAATTGCGGAAAGTCCACAAAGCAGGGCTGTATACGCGATCGATTTGATCCTCGAATGGAAAGAGAAAACGATACAGCCCGTCTTATTGGAAATTAATTTCGCGCCTGATTGTAAACGAGCTTGCGAATATTATCCAAATTTCTACAACGACATATTCAAATGCTTGTTTTTGGACATTGATAATCCCAAAGTATTTCACGATGTGTCCAAAGAACAGAATTAAATTTCCTCTATAATCGATGTACGGTGGCCTAAGTGTATGTTCGAACTATAAATATGGAGAAACTATTAACGGTCGTTTCGTGATGAGCATTGTGACCAAATACAATTATTTATTCAAAGCAGGCGAATCTTGCATTTCGTATGCAGTAATGAGCTGAAGTAGCTGACAGTAAATCTGCATACACGAACGTTAAGGGTATATTTGACGCATAAATAATTTGTATCTACCATAACTTGACGCCACAACGGGAAGACTACTGTAGTACCTAATGGAATAATAAACGAGAGGGCAATTGGAACAGTTACACGACAGCTCACTTTGGTCATCACGTACTCACGAGCGTATAATCAATGCAGAAAGAAACGCATAACGATAATGCCAAACTTTTTTTTTCAAACGATATCATTCTTCCCCGGGAGAGCACGATGAATACGTAATAAAAATTGACATATCGAAACATACAAAATAGACCGTAATTATTTCTTCGATCATCCATTCATGTTGAATATTCCATGTTGATTTTTTTCAATTACCCCGGATATATTAAATGGAGAGTCAAGCTTCCTGAAAATATTGCATCGGATCTATAAATTCAACGACCGCTTTTATTTTCCTCGGTTATTTTCGTCGTTCTATTTCTACCGTGTACATTTATTTTTACATAGCTGCAGCCTTTTATCGTGTTATTTTATGCTGTCGGCGTGACGACGCGATTTTATCGGTAACCTTTGGATTTCAAATGGTAGCTAGAAAATTGACTGTATTATTTACCTATATTTTTTATGCGAGTTACTTTGTTTTCCAACAGTGATTGTCGTTGATCTCCATAGAATTTGAAAACTTTCACACCAGCTTATGTTTTTACGTATATGTACAAATATAATTCGCAGTTTCATCTCGCGTGCGAAGGCATAATCAACCGCAACGATTATTTCTTTATTTCATTTTGCGGCGTTGTTAGTCGAATCACGTTTTACTGACAATCGTTTCGCAACAACAATGAGCTCACGCCGCGGTATTTTGTTAATTATCGTTCCGCTCGTTATTTGGTTATTTCGAAACGAGATTTGTGGCGCTTGTACTCAATTGAAAAAGCTTTGTCTCCGGACCTTCTATCACAAAGCTCGCCTCACGTAATTATACAACACAAACGTATCGGCGCTCGATTTTAATGCCGTTACACGCTCGGATAACGTACAGCTATTTTACTTAAGCTATTCCGTTTGATTTAGCGGATATTAAATTATGATTATTTTATGAAGAAAATATATATCGAGACGGAAGGTCGATGTAAAACAGAGCTGAGAGAACGGTTCAATCGACTTGATGTATCTAATCCATACGTCCATAATCTTTGACAGGTGTTAGATTCCCTCGAAATTTTTTCTTTAGCTAAAAATGCTATACAATAAATAAGTTCGATTGGGAGTGAGTCTTCTATTCGCGGTGGATCAGCTAGTATAAAACAATTTACGCTTTTTACGCAGTTTTGAGAAGTCGATAAAAAGCAACAAATCCCACAAGTTGAACGCTACGTCGTGATTCTTCATTTCTTTTTTTTCGTCGGTCCGATTACATTTCAGCCTCGATTGGGGGTAGTGCGTGCGGCTCCAGGTAGTCGGCATCGTTCTGTCGTACCATACATTCCCGAATGTTACGTCTGCGGGGTAGTCGCACCGCTTATATACGTCTGTACATCACTATACATTCGTTTCCATGAATCACGTGCCGCACAGGTTGAAAAGGGTGGTAACCACTTTCTTCTACTGAAACTCCTAGTGTGTTTCTCCAAGCACGGCGGTGTTGCTGGTAATCATGGCAATTAAGCAAATGAGTTCTGCGTACAGGGACGTCGATAACGAGGGCGTCGCGGGGCTCGGGAGGGTGAGAGTCGTTTCGCGACCGCGACCAATTTCCGTTTCGCGAGACCCTCACCCGAGTTTTTCTCCTTTTGTTTCCCACACTCGTACCTTAACCCTTGGTCGGCATCTTCTTTCTTTTTGTTCGCGTCGTAACGACAGTCTGACCGACGCCGTCAGTCTGGTGGTTGATACCCCTGTTTCACCCTTCCATTCTTACTCCACCCCTCGTCGACAAGATTGATATCAAGACATTGGAACGATCGTTGCGTTGCGTTGGCCCCTTTATTTCCAGCGGGCACATCGGTCTGTTATTTCTCTCGTTGCGAGTGTCGATTCGGCTCTTTCGACCGGCAATTTCGTGCTTCTTGCCGCTCCGGGTAATTTGGTAATTTCGTTTCGACCCTTCTCGCGCCCGGCCGGCGAAGAATTTCGTCGGTTACCGGTATGCCGTTGGTATAATTATTCGAGAACGAGTTCGAAGGCTTCCTGCCCCGGCGGGAGAGAAGAATACGCTTAATCGCGGACACGAAGAACGCGAGTAATTCTCCATTTTGCTTAATGCCTTTTCAACGTTCGGTCTCACGGTCGCCTAAAAATAGTTAGCCACCGCGAAATTAGTTCGAGATCCTCGAGGCTGCGGGCGTAGCCGGTAACGGCGTTCTTTTCGAAATTGCACGACCGTGGCTGGAAGGAAGCGAAACGCGAAAAAATAAAGAACCCTAGTGAAAATGTAAGAATAAAAGTACACGCAATTAGAGGAGCACACGAATTTCCTAGCGCGATAAATGTCATTGCCTTGCATGTTCCGCAGGGAGGTTGCGCGCGTTAAAAGTAGTCTGCATTGTTACGAGGAACTCGGCGAGACTCGTTCCTTTTTGCGAGTGGATTCTGTTGGCGACGTGGGGGCCGTGCAACCTCCCCCCGAATACACACGAGCGGACTTGCGTTTTACGACTCGAGGAACGAGATATCAGTGGGGTACCTTTATCGACGCACGGCCCGTTGAAATCCTCGTTTATTGTTAATTAATGCGTCTAATTGTTATTTCATGCGGAATAAGTATGATGTATGCAGTCCATTACGGGGCAAGTTTGTTCAGAGGAAATTGCGAAACAACGTTGTAAAAAGTATCTCTCTCTCTCTCTCTCTCTCTCTTTTTTCGAGGTAGAACTCGTTTGGCCAACACACCGCCTGAGATGACTTTTTATCACCTTCGTACTGGATCGTTGAGATCCCTTCCGCTCGTTCCCTTCGTTTTTGAAGATGTAAATTTTCTCGCTAGCTAATGCCCGAAGAAGCACGTTACTTAACTGCCACGGTTCGTCAACGAGCACCGAAGAATTTGCTGTAGCTGCAAATTTGTTCTCGTATTTACTTAAAACTAGATTGGAGATCGCCTCGCTCCGTCAATTTTTTTTTTTTTCAACGCCCGTGTAATTTGATTTCCACATGAAGCTAACCGACGAATCTGCCCCGGTGGCAAAATTTTTACGACGTACATACGTCGCATCATCTCCGGTATTATTCGACGGGAAGGGACGTCGATTGTACATCGTTCTTGTAAATTTTTAAAAAGAGCCATCCAGGAAAGAAGGAACGGGGCTGCGTGCTATCCAACCACGGAATATAAAACAAGCCGCACGGTGCGGCGTTCCTTCGTGGATGTCGTGTCCGGCCATTCGACCCTGCATAAATTTTCGTCAAAACCAATTTCTTCCGACTGTTCCCTCCTAAGAGCAGAATTTCTTTAAAACGACGCTACCTTATTTCGTGTTACGTGGATAATCCTCTGATCCCTCGTCCGTAACTATTGCCCTTTCAATTTCGTGAAAAATCATTACTTGATATTTTGCCGCTGTGTTTTTCAAGTGACATTTGGCAATATTTAATTCATTTCACGAGCGCAACTTTTGCGTTTAATCGTAATAGAATTTCGAGTCACGTGTCCTTAAGCTAAAAGGAAAAAAGAAAAAGGAAAACAGCAAGCATGCAAGAGACGATTTCGCGAAACGCGCTGCTCTAGACGCATTAGCTCCCTTTCATCAGCAAAATAATCGAGTAATTTTGAACGTACGATGCCTGATCTACAATGTCAGACATCTTTAACAGATGGAGTTCTCTCTCCTTAATCCGACACGCGTTATTGCACTTAAGGAGGAAGTATCTTCCAGCTCCTTCTTTGCCCATCCTTCGCATCTCTGCTGATAGGCCTTCAACCGTCTGTTCTATCCTGTCGGTTCTCGGCTGCTGCTGCTGCTGCTGCTGCTGAGAACAGGCTTCATTATGCTCCCATAAATCACGGCCAATGTACCTTATATGGATCGGACCACCGCACCGGTAGGCATCGCGCTATTATTAATTACCATCGCCGCGCGATACCAATAAAAACAAGGGTCTGCGCGCCAGCGAGGTGTGGTGAAAGTCGCGTCGACGGGGGATACCTATATCGCGATATTTTATATCCTGGAAACTCTGCATTCAAATAGTTTCGCCGGTGATCGATAGGATTATCGTCTCCTCAGTTTTTACGTCGGTTGTCAGTAATCTGAAAGGACATTTATTTCGGTGGACGTGTTGAGAATTTATCCCGAATATCGAGTTTAACGAAATAATTCTCCACCCCGCCCTCCCCCTCTTCGGACGGTTTTATGGACGAGAGGACTGGGCGAAACCGGACTTCTTTATTTTGGAGGAAATTCTCATTAAATCAATCAAATCGGTTCGATCGATTCGGCCGGATCACATTCGTTGACGAATACTTGTCGGTGTGCATAAATCAGCGGTGCGTTTGACCGTGCACACATTCTCTGTTGCTTCGTCACTTTGACAAAGGGCTTTACACCGGGGCGGGCGCGATCGAAAAGCACGTAGAGGCCGGTCGCGATCAAAATATCATTATTTCCGTTTTACACCCTTCGAAACTCGATAATGCTTTCCCGTAATTGACTCGCCTCAATGAATGACCGCGGCGTAGGTACTATCGTCATTGTGGGTAATGACAGGATTAAAACAACGTTCGGACCAATCCGGCTGGCATTTAATTATTAGCGGTGCCTCCCACCCGCGTGACATCGGCTCCCCCCGGTTGCCAGGACATATATTCAGAATACAGCATTTTATTGACCGACCGGACAATCGAAGCGCATATTTACACGTACAAGCGACGTGATTCGCGCGAGCTTCCCTCTCGGTCTATAATTGGAATTTAAAACGTCCCGAAATCCGGGGATTAAACCGCGTTTGCACCATGTTTCATCCAAGTTTCCCCTGCTGCGTTGATGCTTCTTCTCCCCGAATCTGGCTGTACAAAGTACCCCACGTTGCGTCCCGTGGTGTACGTTTCCTCTCGTCGATTCGTATTTGAAAATGACAGATCGACGAAACTCCGACCGAGTCGATCAGAATCGTAGCGTCGATGAAATCGACCAACACTCGAACGAACGAATTCAGCTGTAAGTTCCTCCCCTATCTCCAACGGGAACTGCGTTCTCTTCGTTGATTCGAGATTCGATTTCAGTCGCGTTTCATCGCGTGTCCCCCGGTAAATTTGGTTGAACGTCGCAACGACGTGAATCGAAACGTTCGTTGGCGAATAAAGAGGACGGTGAGGTCTGTGCTCTCGTCTCCCTTACGCGAACGAGTAGCACTCACTCGAGTAGTGATTATCACGAGGAAATGCACGAAAGCTTCATTACACTGGCGGTTACATTATGTGCGCCACTTGAAACGGCCAGAAGGAGCACACTGGGCCGCAAGCGTTGGTCCGTAAGCGTCTGACTCTACCGTCGCCATCCTTTTCAGCTCGCTTCTTAGAACACTCTTAGAAAGCCTCTCTAAAGGGTCGCCACCACTCGGCCATTGCATTGCGCAATTAACGTCGCCGCTTTCGCTTTTCTTTTTTCCTACTTCCAGTTCTAGCCAGTCCATCTCGATTCACGTTTTTAGCTGCACGGCCAACGCCGAGTGGAGAGGAGATGCGCGCGCTTTCACTGGAAATATACACACTACGCGTCAAAGAAAGGGTCGCGTGTTAATTGCGGGTCAACCTGTTCGTCTAAGTGTCCGTCGACCGATTTTCGTCTCTAAATCTTCCTCGAAGCGAAAAGTACAAACATATGAAAAAAGAAAAAAAGAAAAGTGGGCTACGATGACCGCGAACGTTTTCAAAAATGTACGTACCTTTGCATAGGAGAAGTCGTGCCGTTTCAATCGACGTTCACAGAAATCGAGCTTCCTGCGTTTTTGAAAGCTTGCGAAGATACGCCTCCACCGGAGATTTCTCTTTCCGTGGTAGCCTCTTCGTTTCTTTCTTTATTTTTTGCCCTCTCTCTCCGTCTCGGAAAATCGCGACCACTTAATTTCATCCTCGCCTCCCATCTCGATGGCAATGTTTTTCTTCTCTGCCTTTCTTTGCGCCGTATCTTACGTCGTATCTTACTTTCGCAAGCTTCCCTCCCGGCTTATTTTCGATTCTTTCTCCTCCGTCGACGACACTTTAACGTCTCCCTTAACGGATCCCTGCGTTCTTAAAGAAATTATTTCCGCCTTGTTGAAACAACGGTTTTTTCTTTTCGATCTTTTTTTTTTTTTTTGGTATTTACTCGTAGCAAAGAATAGCAAGGATTGACCAAGGGGTAAATCGTATCAAGAGGTAGAAAATTTCTCTCCGTGGATGCGGAGGGAATGAAACGAAACACCCGGGGAAACGAAATTGCTACGTTGTTTGTATCCCGATATCAAACTCGAAGTGTTTCACCGCGTTTCATTTATATATGTATGTAGAAACGTTTCCCAAGGAACTGGCAACTATTTAATTAAAGGGCAGGTTAGGATAGAACAAAACGCTCCGGCGTCGTTGGCAGAATTTAATTTAAACGGAAATATCGCACAGTTATGATTAGTCCGGGCAGGTTGAAAGAAGACAACAACGGTATTTTACGCGCAAGTAGTTCCAGCCACTCAGCCATCGTGTCTGATTTTCATTAATATTGATCACCGCGACTGCTTAGTCATGCGGTTCTTGTTTGCACCCAGCTGGCCATTTCTCGCACTTTCAGTCCTGGACGTTTCGTTCTCCGAGGCTCCGCGAGATTTTCTAGCCGTCCGTTGTCTTAAAGAACGCTAATTAATTTCTTTCGTTCTTACCTTAATTAATAATGTTTCGTTGCTTCAACGTTGACGGCTTGGCAACGAATACCGATGAAAGCTCGCAGTGAATTCATACCTTTTAAAACTCCTCGAGCATCTCTTTCTCCGAGGAAATCCTTTCGCCGGGGAGAAAGCGTTCTCTTTTTGTACATTAAAATGCTATTAACATTGACCAAGAACGTCGAGATTTTTGTCTCGAGAGACAGGACAAACAACGATTATGATTATTATTATTGTTACGTTGCATTTGTTCCAATCAAAAACGCCCCAACGAATCCTCGGAGTTAGCATGTACATCTGCAGCTAGTTAGCTTCATTTTCGTCGCATGTGTTTCCGTTCTTCGACCAGACTTTCGTACGTTATAATCGTATATAGACGGTGGTGCAATTAGTTTTGTCCCAACATGTACGTACGTTGCAGGAACATGTAATTAGACTGCCGCGGGGGGTTTTTTTTTTCTTTTTTTGTCCTGCGATGAAAAAATCACTCTGAAGCTTTCACGCGTACGTGTAATTTTCGCTCTAGTATTTGATGATTTGGAAACTCGATCTCCAAGCCCATAACAATGTAATTTTGATTGGATTTCCGGTCGCGCGATTCTCGGGGCGGACGTGGAATTTTGTCTGGTAAATGCGTACAGAATGATGAAAAGTTTATACCGTGACAAATGATTTCCCAATGAAATTTACATTCGTGCTAACCGATGCATGCTTAATGGAAAATATGCGCGCAAAATTGGACTTACGATCGAGTTATCTCCGTCATTCGGCGTGCTGTTATAGATTACTTACGCGCGTTTGTTCCTGCCGGTCGCTTAATATTTAAATACCGGCATCAGGTGTTCCTTGTACGTACATGCACGTCGGGCGAATTATTCAATGAGATTATTCGACAGGATGAACGATGATTTATGCAGGGTGTGGTGAAATCACGTAGACACGGATTGAAATTGAATAGTAAATCGTTTATTAGTACGAAGGTGTGATAGTGTTTTTTCGAGTTAGCCTTGGCCGACATTCGTGATTAGAGTGAACCTGTGATACCATAAGGTGAACGAGTGTGATAGAATTTTTTTTTGTTTTTTCGTTTTCTTTCTTAAGTGATGTAAGAGATAGATGTTAGAGCTAGTTACCCTGTTCTGCGAGCTGGTGTTCTCCCCATCGATCGGGCCGATTTCGCCTACTATTTCACACGATTCACCGACTTTCGTGTCTCATTTGCTCTCTCTCCGTCCCTTTGACGGACGATCGATCTCCCGCTCTTTCATCCACCGATTCACCCTTTCCCCCTAGACTCTAGATCCTCTCTCTCTCTCTCTCTCTCTCTCTCTCTCTGTGGTAAATTGCAAGGCGGCACGATGGAAGAGGAGAACGTCCGTGCAAGCTAACTTTCAAGAGTGCTACTTGTTATCTTTCGAGGTACTCTAGTGCCTACGATTTTTTTTTCTTTCTCTCCTCTCTCTCTCTTTGTCTCCTTCTGTTCTGTCTATATCGCTAAATCGCAGCTAAAATTAGCGAGATTGAAGAAGGTGGGAGGAACTCGCGTTACCTCCGCTCTTCCCCATCGAACGCAACAATAAATTAATAATCTCGCGACTCGTATACGCGTTGCTCGAAAAAGGGAAAGAGATCTTCCGCACGTTTGTCCGTCGCGTTCCCTTCTTTGTTCGAAATCCTTATAAGTACTCTCCATTCTTTTGTCCGTTCTCGCGTAATGACTGGCTGGCCGTAATGAAAATTCCGGAAGGAACGACAAAACGCGAAAGGCGAAATCAAACTCTCCCAGTTTTCGCTGTTTCTTTTCTTCTTTTTCTCTTTCTCTCTCTCTTTCTTTTTTCTTTCTTGGGGTCGCGATGCGCAACAGCGATAGTAATGACAATAATAATAATAATAATAATAATAATAATGATAATAATAATAATAATAATAATAATAATAATAATCGATACGCTCTACACGCTCTTCGTAAATGTCAATATAACAATGCGATTTCGACAGCGACAAAGTACTTGGTAGCGAATATAGAATTGCAGACTGCCAGGCGGGACACTATGGCATCCCCGTCTCTTTAAATAAGAACAATGATAATAAATTAGATTCCGTACCTATTGTACACGCGCGTGTATATATACTTGTACACTGTATATATAAAAAACGGTCTTGAAAAACGGTCTGACTAACATGGACGTAAAATCGTACAAAAAGCGTTTGTCCCTCTTCTAGTTGCATGGTGCGTTTTCACCCTTTGCTCTCACGCGAGTTTCCACGCCGCGAACCGATCGAACGCGACTCGCCGTTTCGCATTCCTTTTTTTCTTTCACTTTCTCTCTCTCTCTCTCTCTCTCTCTCTCTCTCTCATTCGCTCGTTCTCTTTCACTCTCTCTCTCTCTCTGTCTCTCTACCTTTCCTTTTGCACTCTTTGATTGTACGCATCTTTGATCATACGTGACTGGTCGTGCGCTTTCGTTCCTCGCGATAAGTACGTATAATACCACCTACAGTTCACCTTTATTTTCGCCCGCAAACTCGTTTCCCTCTCTCGTAGCCCTGGCTTCGCTCGCGATGGATCGATACCGTTTTCGCGTTTCTCGCGGTTTCGACATCGCGTGGAGAGAAGAGGCACGGCCCGAACACACCGCCGAACATCAGGGCCATTAGAATTTTAAATTTTCTCGTTCGTTGTTGGGCCAAATTCAAATGTAGATTAATGCAACGGAGAAATGCAAGAGCCACGAAGAGGATGATGGTTGTTTCAAAATGTACCTGTTACTATCGCACGGTCTGTTAAACAAATCTTCCCTCGAACGGACGGAGGGAAAATAGATTTTCACTGTGTTGGGGTTAGTCGAGAGGACGGCGGTTGTTCGCGGGCGAACGTGTCCAATAGCGTGCTCGCTAAGTCACTTACGCACACACCTCATTTCTCGGCTTGTACATATAAAATTATATTTACAACAGAGTGATCTTTTCCTTTTTTTCCTTTTCTTCTTTTTTTCCCCCTTTTTCTTTTTTTTTTTGTTTCTTTTGTTTCTTTTGTCGTGAGGTATTCGCTCTACATGCATCTAAAGACAGTGTACAGTACCAAGAAGCAGAAGGGAGATTGGCGAGAATCTAAAAAGAATCGCTTCCCTCTGTCCATTGTTCTTTCTCTTTCGTTCTCGCGTTTCGCTCGCTCACTCTCGTGTCTCACGATCTCGTTCTCGGCGATCCGCCGCTCTTTACAAATAATTTAAAAATTATACACTTTTATATATTAAATCGATTCTCTCTGCGATCTTCGTATCTCCTCTTTGCCGTTAGTCGTTTGCTCGTCTCTTTTTTTCCGGGCACGCATTACTCACATTACACACGCACGCACACGTGAGAAAGTTTGACAACGATATGATACAACTATGCTACACCGAAGTGACTCGGACTCGCTTCTCTCTCTCTCTCTCTCTCTCTCTCTCTCCCTTTCTCCCTTTGCTTCTCGCATATATTATATTTACACGGGGTCATTCGCGAATAGTTTATTCGTTTCTCTTACACTTGTAGTATGTATACTTATGTTTGCTTCTTTATATATATATATATATATATGCAATGTACCAGCCTATGTGTGCCTGTACAGCCTAGTAAGAACACTGTTCCTTGGTTTATCCGTTTTACCTTGGTCTGTCTCTCTTTCTCTCTGGCAGCATGATCCAAGTAACGCGAGCGTAAAATCGTGCGACTACCGGCAGCTGTGAGTCAACAATTCGACGCGCGAATCAACGCGTTAATCGAGTAATTGCAGAGGGAAAACTAATCGTTCTTTGCGGTCGACAGAAAAAAGAGCAAGGGGAATATCGTCAACTTCCATGCTCGACGCCTTCCATTCCGCCATAGTGTTCCTTCTGCGAGCGCGTTTGCTGAAATGTGATTTCGGTATCCGTCAAAAGAATCGATTCGCGTGCACATGCAAAAGACGACAGGCTATCCGTAGCTTGATCCGTCGAGGAAAAAAAAAAAGAAAACAAAACGAAACATCGCGATGCACGACGTACACACCGTTGTCTACATGGCTTCCAGATTGTCTCTCGTCGCGGCCTACAGCTTTGAGAATGTAGGACGCACTAGAAATGGCTCGCAGAAGGAACACTATGTATTCTCTTTGCGGAAGCATCGAGGCTTTTGCCAAAGTGTTCTCAATTTCTTTCTTTCTTTCTTTACCTCTTCCTCTTGTTCTTTTTCTTCCCAATGGTTTTTCTGATTGAGACGCGCCGCGACCTCGCATGAGATTGCAAAAATACGTGCTCCTCTTTGAGCGTCCGCGTTCGAAGAAGCTCCCCCCCCGGTTTGGTTCCTGTTGGTTTCACACTGTCCGGGATGTACGACAACGATGATCGTAACTTGGTAATTGACGAAGAAAAATTGCAACTCGACTTAAGCGTACGTTTACGTCGGTGTGTAAGCTACCGTGTGTGTTGCGTGTGTGGCTACGATATTCGTGTACGGCGAGCCTTTCGTTTCTCTCTCTAAGTGCGTGTTTGAAAATGTTTCGTTTACGAGCTACTTTACAATCCCGATCGATGTCGTGTGTATGTGGTGTGTGTGCGTGAAGAACGCCGGATGAATTATGTTACTACTAACGCGTCGTATCAAAGTGTTCGTATGAAATCAGTTGCGGCTGATATCCCCTTGATACAGAGGGCAGTCTTTGCAAAATTATTTAGGATCTCTCTCTCGATTCCAATCGATGGAACCGTTTCTCCCCGGGGGGAAAAAAAAGTATGGTAGTCGCACGTCTCGCGCGAAACTCATCAGTGTTAAAAATTATCTCGCGTGTAGCTCACTACTTTCGTATTAAATTACAAACTATAATAGAAGGCTAAAAAGTCGTAAGTTACTTAATAGCGTTCTTTGGTACCAGCCTGAGTCTCATTGGATTACAAATAATTTGTTAAATAGTCTTGCTAACTTACTAAGAGATCACTGTTTCCCGTGAGTGTCCTGTTTCCTACAATATGATCGTCGCGTTTAATATAGTCTCGTGCCTATTGCTCTGCCGATACACCTCCCACGCGTCGTCCCTCGTGAAACGTCGCTCAATCACGAAAATCAAAAGAGAAATACGATCCAACAATCGGTACGACCTATCGAAAGTATTAAAGTACTTCTCCTGGAATACTCAACACGATACAAACGTTCGTCAAAATATTAAAATACTTCCTATATATCACGCATGTCAACAATGAAAAAAGAAAAGAAAAGAAAAAGATACACGAGCGCCACGAGTGCCGAGTCTCGCGTACGAATAATAAACTCTTCTAGTCCATAGTAAAAACAACAAAAAGAAAAAACAATTCACAGAATAAATACGCGGGATCACTACTTTTTAGAAAAGTGTCGCGTGATCGTTTCGATCGACGATTATCGCCTACGTTTTTTTTCTTTTTTTCTTTTTTTTCTTTTTTTTTTGNTTTTTTGCTTCCTCCTTTACCCTTTACTCCCCACCGCAGACTTTGCCCCTCTCATTTCACGTACATTAGGACACGATGTAGTCCGCGGAATGATGAGAATGATGAGAATTTCGATGCTTGTCCTTTCGGTGATTCGTCCTCGAGTTACTGCTGCGCGTGCCGGTGGTTCCGGTGGTGCCGGAAGTGTGATGGCTGTAGCCGCTGTCGCTGCCGAAGCTGCTGTCCGGCTGACCTTGGTACAGCCTGCCGGAAGATATCTGGTCGGTGTCGCGTGTCGCGTAATACACCGGCTGCGTGTACTTGTCCTCGTTGTAGAGACGATCGGTGGGCTGCGAGTAGGTGTCCGAGTACTCGCCCCCTACCTGCGTGTACACGGGAGCGGTCTCCTGGTTCTGCAGCCCGTAATACTCGGCCCCGTATTGCGCCGAGTACTTGTACTTGTCGTTCGACTTGCGGCACCTCTCCTTGTTGCTTCTGCTTTGGCTCGAATAGTGGTGGAGAGGGCCCAGCACCGGCACGCTCTCGTACGGGTTCTCCTCGACTCGGAGGGCTTGCGTCGCTGGCATCGGTGGCACGAAGTACGGTAACCTGTGGGCCACCGACGGGACGGACTGTTGTCGTTGATTGCTGTTCGATCGAGTGCCCGCCACGCCTGAAATCATTTGCAAATTATTAGTTAACTCGATCAACGATCATTTGACCTTGGCTCCGCGAGAGAGTGGAGATGTTTGAAAAGTGACTCACCGGCGACACTTGGATAGAGCTGCAGCAACGCGTCCAACAGCATCCCCTCGTGAAACTCGCCGACGTCGTGGTGCTTGTCTCGCCTATGCCTGTCGAGGCTTCTGGGGCTCCTTCCTCGTTTCTCTCGCGGTGGCCTGCCACCAGCTGGACAGGTGCCCCACGCCGGGCCCGTCGACGTCAACATTCTCGCCTCGGACGGTTCGCCCACGGAGAGCTCGTCCTCGGCGAACTCGTCCTCGCTCGCCGGTTTCGACGACGACGAGGGCCGATGATGATGGCGGTGATGATGATGAAGCCGGTTCCGCGCGTTCAACTCGCTCTCCTCGTCCGTTTCCGGATGGTCCCCTGGAAACGAATGAATAATTCATAAGTGCCGGTGGCGCTGGTTGAGCGCCGACGCGATAATTAATTAGACGGTTCGTTCATTAATTAACAGACAATCTCTTTCGCGTGTCAAAGTTGCGATCACTCGATGTGCACGAAATCAAATCGAATCGGGGGGAGGGGGCGAGGGGGAGAAGTGCTTTCAATTTTCAGCCAGGGGAATCAGTGTCAGAATTAATTAGTTAGAGAGATCCGTCGTTGTGTCATTTAAACGTAGCGGGCGAAGCAAGCTTGCCGGGGAGAATGGGCTGGGAACGAGGCGATTGTTAAGTGAAAGTATCCGCGGAAAGCGAAGCGTGCTTGTCGTCATTAGTCGTCGAAAAACACAATTCAGCGGGCATGCACGGTGCATGGCGTTCACCATCGACACTTTGTCGCGCTTTCAATTTCGGCCCGACCGTTGCCGATTTTTCTCTCCACCTCTCGTTTTTTCTTTCTTCTCTTTTTTCCTTCTTTTTCTTTTTTTCACACCCCGCGATACCACCGCGCTCGTTACACGATTTTTCTTTCTTCCGAAACGCTTTGCCCAATCGCGGTTTCAACTTTTGTGCCCGATGATTGTGACCGTGCGCGTCGCATCCGCGATCGTTAACCGATCGTATTGTCGCGCGCACTTGATACCAATTCAACGGTTAACGAGAATAACCGTCGCGTCGTTTACATCGCGAGTCATTAAAAAAGAAAAAAAAAAAAAGAAAAAAAGAAAGAGAAGGAATCAGAAATACTCTCTCTACCAGCGGTTGAAAATCAAAACAGCCATTTTAACCGGGCGTGCTGCTAGAATGCCGCGGCACGCCGGTTTGTTTTTTCATCGCTTCAATTATATACGGTTCACCCAATTTCACGTTTTGATTCTTTTTTTTACTACTCCCCGTTTTTTTTGTTTTTTTTTTTTTTTTTTGTAAAGGAACGATTCAACGTATTTCACGCAAAAATGAAAAACAATCCAGGTACGCGCGCAATATGGTATGTTCGATAAACCTTGCCCCTGGACAATTATCAACGACAAAAGGGAAACGAGCGTTCGATTTCCCGCGGCGAGACCGAACGCGAAGAATCGCTCGTCGTGGAGCGTAAGACGCGACGATGGGGAGACTCGGAGCGACGACGAAAGGAACGCTCAACGGCGAACGGAAGTTTATCAACTTTGGCTCTAATCGACGTTACAGTTTTCTGTTTGACGATCCCTCGAGCCACCGTCGAGGTGTATCGTCGTCCTCGTTTCGCTCCAGACACAACGCCCTTATTTACACAAGGAGGGAAAAGGGGTAGAAAAGAGGAGGAAAAAGGGAAAAGGAAAACGAAAGACAAGAGAGGAAAAAAGGAGGAGAAATTGGAGGATGCTTCACGGATTACCGCGGTTGCACTTTTAATCTCCGTTATTTCATATCTTGGCGTATTTATCATCGGTTTAAGCGATATAGCGGGCAAACTAGGATTTCCCCGGGGGGGATAAAACTGAACTCCGCAGCCGAGGCAAAGTGGAATTCGTTGCGGAGCGTAATCATTTCGAAACCGTAAAATATACGGCTCCGCTTTCGAACAACAGCTGCCAGTTGCACACACTGTTTCCCTCATCGACTCCGGCCGCGCCGCAGTTCGAGTATCGGGCAAAAACAGCCGAACGTCTCCGGCGTGATTCGACCGAACTTTTTAATAAAACGGGACTCGGCCGAAAATGACCAGACCCGCGTTCGACGTTCGAAACCGAGGAGACGAATTATTGCGTGGCACAATATAACGCGCGGCTATAATGGTTTAGGAGTGAGGTGCATCGAGCCGCGCATAGCGTGTAACGTATTCGATTACCGCGTCCTCGTCAAACGTCGAAAGTCTCATCACCATGCTAATTAGCCCATCCGACTAATGGGAAGTATAAGTCAGAGGTCGTGTCACGCTTATCTCCTCTAGCACCGAAGCGCCGACTCTGGCCGTGGATCTGTCGTGCGACAGAGCCAAGTAGGCCAGGCTATCAAGATACTCGTCTCGTGAAAGGAACAAGATATACACGAGGAAGAAGATGAACAGCTTCCGATTCCGCGCCGACGGAGAGATTAGACACCGGACCCATCCGGCCGACTTCATCGCCCCGACGGTATACGTCGAATTAATTGGGAGATAAGCGAAATAAAGAAAAATGATGGGCGTTCTTTCGTCGCGAGATCAAGGACGAAGGGAGGAAACTCTTACGAGAACGAGGACGAAAGAGAGAGAGACTTTTGGAAAGTTGGAGGAGTGTACAGAGTGAACTTTGTTCTCGGTCGCCAATATTTGGAACCGTGGTTTAGTTCGGAGAGTTAGGAAAGATAAACACGGCGATTAATGGAGAGGCGAAGAAGATGATGATGAAGAAGAAGAAGAAGAAGAAGAGGAGGGGGGGAAAAAAGCTTGCAGTTCAGTGTTAGCCAACAGCAAAGAACACCCTTAGATTTTAACTCTCTACCGTGTATATTAATCGCGACACGGCGTACTCAGATCCTACCTACGTTCTGCCCCGGCAGGATCGAGCCGGAAGATCGCGCGCTACTCCTCAAAGTCTTCACAGCTGAGTTTCATCTAGAAGGAAAGCGTGTAATTGGCGTTTATGCGCGGTTGTAACCGTTCAGACCTTTATCAATCGGTGGCGCGGAAGTTGGAATATTCCTCAAGGCAATAAGTGAAGGCGATTCAACTCGTCGATGTTACTCACCGTTGCTGAGCTCCTCGTAGACGGGATTGTAGAGGTCCTGCGACGTGTACGGATCAGGACCCGGACTGCTACACACGAATACGCCTCTGCCAGTGTCCTTGACGTCCAACATCTGCCGTGAAAAATAGCGCATAAAGATAATTAAAGCCTAACCCTAGGTTGCAGATCTCTTTTTAAATCTGGCGTACCGCGGCGATTCGCGCGACAAAAATTTGAGACCAGACTTGGTACAAAGGATATTTGGCCAAAAAGTAGCTTCGAGTGACAAAATTGCGTAATAATCTTAAGACGAAACAAAAGTCGCACAGAGAAAGAGAGAGAAAGAGAGAGAGTAACACACATTCATTGCGTTTCCGGTCGGCGATTAACTCGTTCCTGCTCTTAAAGACCCTCGAGATCATCCAGGGAATCTGTACCTTCGGGCGAGCCCCGATCGGAGAAACGCTGACTCGACGCGAACCGCGTGGAATCGAGGAAGTCGTAAGTTAATCCTCAAGATCGACTTGGAGATCCTGGCTTGGTCAAATAACAGGGAACGATCTCGAACGTCAGTTTTATCGGCGGCTAATTTTATTTCTTCGGCCACTTTATCGACGAAATGCAATCTCCCCTCGACCCTCTCGTAATCTCGTCGTCGGACCTCTAACCAAGGGAAGTCGAGAATCAATTCGAGAAACTCGAAAAGTCGTAATTAATTCCTCGGATCAGTCGCCGACTGAATTCGACGAAGAATCCGACAATGCAGCGGAGTGAGTGACTGCGCCGAGCGAAACGATCGATATGACGCAGCTTGATTTAATCTTTGATACAGACACCGAGAGGTGGACGCGAGAGACGAAAGGTCTGCCCGACAGACAGACAGCTTTCAGGTAGTCTGGTATTCTTGCATCGATGAATTCGTCGTAATGAGTCGTTGCTACCCGTTAACGGGAATGAAACGACGTATTCAGTCGGCAGACTGGAGGAGAACGTGACTTCTCTAAATGTAATTTTTTTTCGTTCGTCGGGAAGATTCGAGCTTCCCTTTGGAATTTCTTTTCTTTTCCTTTTTTCTTTTATTTTTTTTTTTCTTTTTCTTTTACAAGATGCAAGAACGACCGTTGCCGGTACGAACGAACGTCGAGTGGATCGAGGGGTTGAATCGCGCAGCTTTGTAACAACGATGGCGGAAGGGGACAATAGCGAGAAGAGGTTCAAGCACTTTCCCAAGTACTTCCTAATAAAATTCGATGGAGCTGATTTTCCACTGCTGTATGTACCTATCTACGTATGTACGTATCTACTTCGTCGTCGGGTTCCTTTGCAATCAACGGGAGCGAACGGTACGGTGGCGGTACACGGGGAACGGGTTGCGTGGAAGATTGCAAATTAGCGGTTGACAACGGTTCACGCAGCGCGCCTGGTTGCCAGTTAGCCCGAAAATTGCTTGGCAATTTTCGGGAAGAAAATGGAAGGCGTCGAACGCGCGAGTATCGAGTATCTGGAAACGAACCACTCGAAACCGGGCGCTCGTCCCTGTGACCTCGAATCCCCGAAATCTAGTTACCCCAGTAATCTAGAGAATCACGAGGGAGCCAAGGCAAACGAAACCAGCGAGCTACCCTCGAATTCGAGTCCCGCAGTCGGCGCTACCGGCGTCCACAAAGGACGATCGCTCTATTACTTTTGCTTCGTCCCACCCCGAGGGTTTCTTCTTTGCCCTTTCTACCATGTTTATTACTTGCATCTCGTCTAATCACCCTCCTCACCATCCGCAAGGCTATGAAAACTATGAGAAGAGTTCCTGATTTGTCGTCCAACGAGAGATAACAGACTGACGTGGAAAGTGACGATACTTTGCTCGTTCTCCCTGTTCTTCCCCTCCCTTCTCGTTGTTTCGTACTTCAAATTCATCGCCATCGGATGTTCAGATCTTCGTTAACGAAGTTTTGCAAAGGTGGAAAGAAAGAGGGGCGCGTGATCTATGCTGCGAGATCGCGATTGCGTTTGCAAGCCGTGAACGCCGCGCGATACGATGATAGACGACGGGCAAGAGCAAACGCCCGGAGCTCTTTGCTCTGAATACAGATTCCAGGGGGCGATATTATCGCTGCCGAAAGAGGATCACTCGATTACCGGCGCGGCGTATCGTCTCGTTTAGAACGACGGCTCCGGACGAAGGTAATTGTCGCCCTTAGCGAGCGATGGCCCCGGCCCGCCATCTACCTCGAGGGTTCTTTCTAATAGCGGCGCATCGCCTCGAATCAACCGTTTCCTCCTCGATCACGCCATCCCGTGAATTTCGCGGAATTCTGCCGGCCGGCCGCGCCGTTTCGAACGTTACCTAGCGTTACCGAGGAAGTTTGCTTCGACGTGAAGAAGCAAAAGAAACGAAAAGAAAAGAGGAGGGAAGAGGGGGAGGGGGAGGGGGGGGATCAACGAAAGCGAAAGGATAATCGATTCGAGCCGGCAGCTTTCAATTTCCCGTCTATGGATAGCCCGTTATTATTGCCAAAGTGGAAACGATTTTTGGATATTTCATCGGTATCGCGGTGCGAACGGTAAACACTTTCGCGGAATAATGGCCATGGATTTGCCTTGGGCAAAAAGATTGCCGTGATGCTTTTGCAACCGCTGAGCGAGAGAAAGAGATACAGAGAGAACGCGGAAATGCTAGATCACGGGCACGGAAAAGTCTGGAAAAGCCTGGAAAAGAATGAAGCGGGCGGCTAGAGTGGGACGTTGCGAGTTGAGCGAGATTGAGATAGAGGCTTAAGCCATCGTATCCAACAGCAGGAAGCAATATGTCCGTGCCGTAATAGCGCGGAGCACGGAGGTTAATGGGTTGTCCCTAACGCGCCTAACCTGCCCCACGTTCTCCGTGTATCTGTTCAACGCGCGTCTGATCCACCTAGCCGTCACATTGTATCCTGATAACGCGTTGTTCTAATCGACTAATTTACCGCGTCTCTTCCAATTACCGGATATGCTCGAAGAATACGACAGCCATCGATCATGGCCCTCCGATTCTCCGAAATACCGTAGTATTTCCATTTCCTCGTCCGCTCCTCCCGATAAACGTAACGAATCTCATAAATTTCCCGACAGTACACGTCCATTAATTTTGACCGATCAAACCATTCACGTCGTTGCAAATCCCGATGGCCAAACGATCCGAGCAATATCGATCGTACGTACATACGTTCTATCTCGCGGACAAGTACCTGGGACCGTTCGAGTGATTCGAATCGGCACAACGCGACCAAGTGTATCGATGCCTCGATACGATTGAGCCTGGATTGTACATCCGGATCGAAGGTTCGCGCAGGCGTGTCCCTCGGTCGTTTCGATCGAGGTAAACTGCAAGGACGTCTATACACGACAGCGATGCTCGTGGTCACGGAACGTTACCGTAACCTGCTAATTGTTAGTTACGGTGACAATTGCATTAGCTTCCTAAGTTCAATCCCTCCTTTGCCCGCTGGCCATCTCGTTACATCGTCATTGCTACGATGCCAGCGCGGTTCCGTTGCCTAACGACGTGTCAGGATATGGATTAGAGCGGCCGACATTAATTGAGCCAACAACAGGTGGAACAGCGAATCGAGGGGCCAACAGCTTCGAGATTACATTATTTATCGACTCGTCTGATTGCGGATCAACAAAAAAATTGCACCGTTTTTCGGACGACGAGCGAACGATCGAATGATTTTGAGAACGGAGAAGGTAAAAGAAGTTGCCACGAAGTTCATCATTCGATACGAAACTCGATTTTGCGAAGATTTAGGGCATCGTTGGTCGACAGTGTGCAACAGCCCTGGCCTCGTTGCTTAACGACGTGCCGCGAGATTGATCGAGCCTAGCAACCGAGTCGACCAACAACAGGTGGATGTTAAAATCGTTCGACTCCCGATCGCGTAGGATATCTCTTATTTGACACTGCGTCTGTCACGCTCGAAGATCGAACAAAGACCTCGACATTTGTTAAAAAAAAAAAAAAAAAAAGGAAAAGAAGAGAGCGAGGGTCAATCTCGGAGGCGAATTTCGTCTCGGACGCCACATTGGAGAAGAAGAAGACGTATGCGGGCAATTAAATTACGGTCGGGGGAAAGATGGTAGAGCGGACTCCATTTGCGAAATTAGAGAGATTCAGGGTTGCGCAATCGGTCGGAGAAAGGCAATGGTGACTCGTCAATCTTTCCCTTGATTTCTCTCCGGCTTTTCTTCAACCTTGCCCCTTTTCTCTTCTGACCCCGTCCGTCATTTTCTACCCGTGACGTCTCACTCGCTTCCATTGTCCCCTCTGTTCTTGCTCTCTTCCGACATCTTCCTTTCTCCATTTTTAGACACGCGTCTTTATCTGCCCGGCGAGGTTTTCCACCCCTCGAGCCGGATCTCCGCCAAAGAAACGGCCACATCTTTCATTCCATTGAGGAAAAATTTAAACACAGAAGTGGTTATTCCGCGTCCACGTGTATTGTGTGTCAGGAGACGATAGGTCCGCGCGCGAATATATCTTTTTCTTTCTTTTTTTTTTTTTTTCCTCTCTTTCTGTTAGAGGTAGCACGCGATCTCTGTCGTCGCGTGGACTACGTTCGCGTCGTTTCGAGATTGGCACACGAGAATCTACCGAGCGTCTCGATTCTTATCTCTTTTCTCATTTTCTTTCTCTCGTAAATTTTTCCCCGCGCTATCGATCAAGATTCGAGCCGAGCGTTACGAAGGATGCGAGGGACGGGATAGGATTGTGGACCGGGTGAATAACCACTCCTCGTCAAATTTTTCAGTAAAGTAATTTTATTTTCTCAAGTTTCTTCTCCTCCTTTTCATACTCCCTTCTCCTTTCCTCAATACTTCGATATATACAAGACTTTCTCTGTTTGTCGGATCTTTCTCTCTCTCTCTCTCTCTCTCTCTCTCTCTCTCTCTCGCGCACACTTTCTCGCAGCTACTACTCTATCTCTCCCTTTAATCCTACTTTCGCGAACCCGTTTCGAAGTTTATTTACAAGACACAGTATTTACCGTACACCGGCTACGGTAATGGAATAATACGTAATACGACAATAAATAATAATAATCAATCTGCACGACGACAATAATTAATCGCGATAATCATTCGTCGAACGTCTATACAAACAGAGAAACACAAACGCGATCGATAACTCCGTTCTGTTCATTCGGGTGCACAGCTACTCACGGATTCACCGTACCTTTCTTCTTTTAATACTTTATATTAATGTACGATTTCTCTTTCTCTCTCTCTCTCTCTCTCTCACTCACTCTCGAAAGTCTCCGTCTCACTCTCTGTGCATATTATTTACAATTTGCCAGTTGCACGATCTAATCTATTTACAACCATGGAGTGCATCTAGACGCCGTGCTCACACAACCGAAGATAATAGTAAGGCCACTCGCCTTCCGTTTTTATCCCTTAACCTTTCTTTTGTACCCATCTCTCTCGACCCGTTGCACTCGCTCCCTCTTATCCTTATCCCCCTATTTTTTTTTTTTTTTTTTTTTATTCGCTCTACAGCGTCCTCCCTCCCTTAGCTTCTTTCAAAGACGAGATTGTGCAAGCACGGCTGCGTAACGAAATAAATACTGACTAGTCCGCGGCTAGTGTCTTCGGTGTCCTCGTCACCGTTCACAGCGAGCAAGAGGAACGACGAGAGTTTTGTTTTTGGCCTGGTGCATTCGCGAACGAAAAGAAAAAGGCGCGAGAGATCGACGTGAAGCTGAATGGCCGGCGACTGTCTCGCTAGTGGAATGCAAAATAAACGGGAAAAAGAAAGGGGGGGGGAGGGGGACGACTGTACTCTCGTCGTGCGAACAGAAACGAAAACGAAAACGAAAACGAAAACGAAGGAATGTCGAGGCGGAATCTCACACCTCGGAATGGGACGCGATCCTCTCTCTGTGCTCGCTGAACCCGAAAAGACACTAGACTACCTACGACTTTTCACGATGGAGAGCGTACCTACGAATTTATACCGAAAACGCGCGGGGGAAACGGGGGAGGGGCGGGGTCGGGCAACGAAAACGATCCTGGCCAACGATATCACGGGATATGTAAATCACCATCTCTCGTCCCGGAGAACCAGCGCGGGACGTACGAGAATGCTTGGAACTAGCACTGGAGACAGACATCCGAGACGGGGCAGTCTCTATAAGAAGATGTCGCTGGCAAAAGACATGTGTCACGTGGTCTGTACGTTCAGATAAATGTCCTCGGGTTTGCTGAGGAGATTGTGTATCTGCTGCATCGTGCACAGCGGACACACTTCCTCCTCGGTGCCGTCGGCCACGATCCTCCTGGCTGTGCCCGGCGCTTTCCTCGACGCAGAGTCCACGATGTACGAGTAGCCGTCCGAGTCGACCGAGCTCGATCTGACCGACGTCGTGCCGAACAGCTTGGACGCCCTCGCGCCACCGGCGATCGTCTCCGACTGTTCGTACCTCGTGGACTCTAGTTCCGTGTCTTTGAAATCGATGTACGAGTAGCCCTCGGAGTCGACCGACGATCTTCTGCCGTACGAGATCTCGTCCCGGGGCACGAGCGAGTGGGCTCTTTGAACGGAACGCGCCTGACCGGAGGGATTGACCGAGCCACTCTGAGAACGAGGAGGAGGAAGATCCTGGACGAGAAGTCTGGGCCGATGTGTCGGCGTGATGGGAAGACGAGAATCTATCGGTCGACCGGGCGCGACGCAACCGCCGTCAGCCAGATAATTCTCGTTGGCTATGTCGAGGTTCGCTACCTCGAGATCGGGACAAGTGGAGATGGATGGAACAGCGGTGATGGTTGTTGGAACGGGGAGCTGGACGAGAGGTTGCTGGCTGGTGATGAGGGCGTTCTGACTGGCCAGTAGCAAGTGGCTGTTTCGAAGGAGGCTACCGCCACCGTTCTGCAAGAGCGGGCTGGTCGCGCTTGTGCATCGCGGGGTGCAAGGCGTGTGCGTGGCTATCGAGAGCGGAACACCCTGGGACTTGGCGAGTAGGGCTCGCGGCGTTCGATAGCCGCCCAAGACCGCCCTGGAGGGCTTGTCCTGGACGCGGAGTATCGCCCTCGGGTCCCGGTAGTCGAGATAGTCGAGGTGGTGAGGCGCGGGGGCGCGCGCACGCTGCAACTGCTGCGGCTGTCGTTCCCTTAGGCTGTGTCGCTGACCGGGATTTCGTACCTCGATCGTCGGCGCCTGGCCAGGATGATGGCTGGGCAGGTGATTCTGCCTGTGGTGCAGCTGCGAGTGCGTCACCGCTTCCGGCAGGTCCTCGTACAGCACCGCACCACCCGCGCTGCCAGTTCCGCCGTGCGACTGCCCGTCGGTTAGCACTCGAGTCCGACCACCGGCCGCGGCTGCCGCCGCCGCCGCCGCCGCCGCTCCCGCTGCGCTCTTGCAAGGTAACAGGTTCTGCACTTTCCGCTTGTGCCTGCAACAGAAACCGGACAACATCGTCCTTACTGCTCTGTCTCTCTCACTATGCACGTGCCAGAAGTCTAAACAGATTTTGCCGATCACTCGGCACCGGAGAAAATTTGTGTCGGTTGCCGAGTTTAGTTTTGACATTTATATACTGTATATATGTAACATTTAATATTGTACAATAGTTGTTTTGGGCACGTGTTCACAATACAACGCTCTAGCAAGACGATCAACATTTACGCGGCGGGCTCACACACATGTACACGCACACAAATATATAAAACAATAGAATAACGAATATGGCTACAAATATTAATAGACCTTTCAGATCAGATGTGTCGCAATTAGCGAGTTGGCTGAACAATTTTGTTCAGCCGTGAATTTGAACAGTGTTACGTTGCAAGGGTATGATTAAGAATTAAACAAGAGAAGGAATTTATTAATATAAAAATATTTCTTGTCGTGCTTGTATATTCTTTCCCTTGATCTTTGGTCAAAGTACGACTTAGGACGACTCGTGCATGACTGATTCCTAACAACCGAGTTGAACCGAAACGGACGAAAATCGGGAGAAAGTGAAATATCGCTTGTGCCGAGTCGAAAGACGAGCAACATACTACGAAAAGTAGCTATAGTTGATATTCTACTCAGTTCGCCTCTCGTCGATTTGTTTCCCTTAGGTCACGTTTAACCACCGGTGTACTACCCGCCCGAGTACTTTGATGCGATTGTTTATCGATCGCGTTCTTTGTTCAACGATTCGTTTTGCATCTCGTTCTTCGACGGAAGCTTCTCCGGCAACGGCGGTAAAATCGATCGAACAACCCAATCTTCGGGATCGCAAGCGGAAAGGGACGAACGAATTTGCCAGCGTTTGATTAAAAAAAAAAAAAAGAAAAAGGGACAAAACCGTGGAATTCCTCGTTAAGGGTACCTCTGTTACGCGGCCTGGGAACGAGTAGATCTCGGTTTTCATCTATCTCTCCGCGAAAAGTTCTTCCCGGATGGGCGGATGGTGGAACGTGGAAGAAGAAGCTCGATTTGCGGTGCGCCGTCAATTTCGCCTTCCATCTTTCGAGACGCAGCCGAGCACACACACACCAGCGAAGCTGGTCTCTCACCGAAGGAACGGGGCTCAGCTACGTGCACGCTCGCTTGTCGGCACGCCGCCCGGCAAAGTAGTTTACCCTTCAAGTTTTAATTATCTAATTAACTCCATCAGTTCGATAATATTTGCCCGTGTAATTAAACCACCAGCTAAGGTTAACAACTTGTGGCGCAGTTGGAATAGTAGGTCGTCGAGGTGAATGGCTCGACCGAACCACCGCTACGGATATATGTACATATCTGTGTGTATTATACGCGAGAATGGATCGCGGCGGGTTGGTGAAGGTATATAACGAGCGAATTAATTGCTGAACGGGACACGACGCTTCACGGCTCGACCTTTTTCCCTTCCCTTCCCGCATGGCGTGACACGTCGACCGAACGGTTGATCGATCCGAACAAATATAGAAGATCAGCTCTAAAGATCGGGGAGAAGAGAACCGGCCACGGATTTTGACTTTTGACTCGAACGAACGGGAGAGAAGTTGTTTTTAGTTGGACGACGGTAGAACGAAACGCAAAGACACGGAGGGAGGAAATGAAATTAGTTCGAGAGGTGGTCGAGCCCTAAAAGATTATCCCGAACTCGGGCAAAGAGCCAGTTACGTCGTAAAACAAGAAGCAAAGGCGGTTTAAATGAGAAACGCAGAGATGTCTCTCTCTCTCTCTCTCTCTCTCTCTCTAGTTCCGGTTCCGGAGAGAACTCGTGGCGAGCAGAGGTCGAGAGCCACAACAGAGCAGACATACCGCGTGGACGTTCGTGGTTTGATGTGCACGTTCGTGTTTCACGGTCCACGGTTGCTGAAACCATCGCGCGGCAGATTCACGCCGGTCTCTGGGCCTCCGAGTCTCTGGACAGTGAGACGAGCGTAAACTAGGTATCCTCGGCTTCCTCTGCCGGCAAGATTTCAATTTGCCTAATGCCACCGACTGTCAGGCATAGCGCGACCGCACTTAGCGGTGCTCTTAACGCACGTAGACCGCCAACACGCTCCGTGAGCTCTCTCTCTCTCTCTTTCTCTTTCTCTCTCTACCTCTACTCGTTGCATAGCTGCACGCTTGTGCCAAACGAGAGAGTTGCGTACTGCACGTGGAAACCTTGGCACCCGTTGGTGCACACTTTGGTTCTCAATCGTGCGCCACGCTTTTAAACAGATTCGCCCGCTTTTAAACAGCTCCGCTTCGTTCTTCGCTTCTCGTCGGGGATGGCGTATAATCGCTACCTCGTTTGAAGAGAGGCGCTTGTCTCTCAAAGTAAATCCTCGCGATTCGCGTACCGACGGAATTGCTCGAGCAATTGTCGAGCGACAAATTCTTCCCTCCGCGCGGAATATCGCGTGAGAAACACTGGACCCGCTGAATGCACCTGGAATAGGCTAGTCGTGTCCGTGATCGCGTACCCGTGCTAAACATGGTATCGCGAGCTTGCGGTCGTATAACGGACCATAAAGCGCTTTGTGGACTCGTCGACCCTTCGAGCACACGCACGTATGCATTCGTCCAAGGGCTTTCCGAGTCTTTCTCTCTCTCTCTCTTTCCGATGATCCGTTTCACCCGCGTAAGCTTCCCTCTTGCGTTCATGTTTTCTTTTTTTCTTTTTTTTAATTTCATTTTTTGCTCTCTTCATTCGCCCATGATTCTCAAAGACTGGCCAAGTACGCGCGTACCTGGACGTAGTTGACCGTGATAGAGTACGCTTCGGGGAATTCAACGTGGGATGCGTTAATTAGTAGTCCATGCAAGACGGGCAAAGTTCGGGTATTCGTCCTTTGAGGCCGGTCCAAGAGCCGCGTAGGGATTGCTTCTGATGAATTTCGTCCAAACTGTGCGGCGCTCGCCAACCGGTGTCCTCCAACAACTTGCAGCACCGGGGACAGATGGAAACTTGCGGCGTTTCTAATCAATTCTCCGCTCTCTCCCGCCCCCTCGAAATCCAGCGCTTGGCTTTCGCGCTGTCGTCGGTTGCTCCTCTCCGCACTTCATATTTCTCCGTAGATGTCGCGACGATTTTTCATCGAGCCCGACGTCTGTTCGTTTCTCTCTCCACCCAACCGCTCTCCTTTTTTCCCCCGCCCGTTTGCCTCAACGACGCACCGTCGGCCATCTCTGAAATGGATTTCATTCGGCGCTCCAACCTCGGGGAAGCTTCTTCGCGATTAGTTTCGTAGGCGCTGCGAGAGAAGAAGACAGACGCGAGACAAAGAGGATCGGTATAAAGGGGGATGCTGCGTTGCGTAAGAAAGATCAGCTTCCTTCTCGCCTCGATTCCCCGTCAGGTCTCTGTTTCTTCGGCGAGCTGCGCGAGTTCGCTGTCGGAAGAACAGTGAATAGGTCGTTTAAGCTCGGGCTAATTAACTGCCTTTTCTGTGTTTCTATCTGGTCCCGACGCGTGCAGCGCTGGACAGACACGCGTCACACTCAAAGATCATTCGTGCAATGTGAAATCGTTTCGAGTCCGCGCGAATGGACAAAGGTCGACGAAATGACAAATTCCATCCGAGAAAGGAACAGGTTAACTCGCGACGCTGGTATTTGCAAAGTGTTTTCTGGTTTTTGTTTTGATGAAGGGCGTTGGACCACGCGGGTGTATCGAAGCACGAACGCGTACGTGCGGTGGCTTGCAACCGGAAGCACGAGCCGGTTAAACCTCGAGTTGGTAAGTCGGCGTGTAGCAACCCTCGCCGACAAGCGCACAGGATTTTGAAGTTTACTCTCGCTGCCGCAGTTTCGCGTAAGCTTCTCGAAACTACAAATTTTGCATATCAATGCGCATGGGTACATCCAGCCTGTCGACTCGATAAACGACTTTCCACTCCCGCCCCCTCCTCCGCCCCCCGATATCCTTTTACCTTCCATAACCCGCAGGATTCTCGATTCCTCTTCCCGGTCGGTAATATCGTTGCTTCCCCGCGGTATTTCTCGGATATACGGCTACCGCCTTCCCTTTTTCAGCTAGACGAGGACCGTAAGAACGTCTCGCCTCGTACGAACGGCACCGCGCGTCGCGATGGAAATTCAATCGAACCGCGCGTGACTTCCATTCAGGAGAGATATCACAAAAAGGAAAAAAAGAAAAAAATGGTTAAAAAGTCCGCGCGGAATACGCGGATGCAAAAAAGAAAAAAAAAAAAAAATAAAGAAACTCGATCGCGGGGGTCTCCAGGCTCTTGCGTACACGCAAACGATTTATCAGACTTCAAAGTTTATGGTCCCTTCAGGAGGAACATAAATCCGGCCGATTTATCTTTGGAGGCTCGGCTACGCGTACATCGCCCGGCGCAAAACCAAATCCAACAACCCTCATGTCTAGATTGTACAAGCAGGGATATTGTTTTGCCGCTATCGTGGCGGCCGTAGAACGGTTACACACAGTTATCAGGAAGGGTTACCATGGCGGAGGCATTATTTCCGTCCGGTCAAGTGACCTCCCACGCGTTGCTTGGTTATCGGACATGGAACCGATCCGGGTTCCTCGCCATCTCCGACTCGACTCTATCCCCGACAGAATCATCCACGCATGGACGACCCTTTACTGCTCCGGAATACGTGGTGCAACGACCCGTGGACGACCACCGCTGCCCCCCCAAGCCCCGTTTTTCCTCCGCGACGATCGTTCAGATAACACGGCGGACACAGATGATCGCGGTCTTTCCTGTTCCTAGAGCTACCCGGAGGAATAAACGATGTTCGAGCCACCGGCCACGAGGAATATTCGAATCCAGACCGGGAGGGGAAGATTAGGAAAATGTCCAAGGTCGGCTAGTTTGGAGAGGAAGGATTGGAGGCACCGGCCATGTCGTTCAATATGTAACGGCGTAACGCGCCGACATGAAAATTGGCGGTGCTCGAACATCGGATAGCAGAGAAAGAGCGTGGAGTCGATGAAAGTCCGAGGGGAAGAAGAAGAAGAAAGTAATCTCGAGGTCCGTGGATAAGTGTACACTAG